TCATTTGTTCATTTTGTTGACTGTCTTTAAAAAATTATATGGCCATTGTCTGCTTTTGTTTAGTATGGCATTACTAAATTCTCAGCTCAGTGCAGCTGGTCAGAGAGTAGCACTCAGTAAATTCTTTTTTGAAAGAACTGTTGAATACAGGGAAACATACATGCTCCGACATTCAGCCTACAACCATGGAAAGGACAGTGGTGCCCTGGACCTCACAGCTAGATAAGCTGGTGTTTCAAAGCTGGGGTAAAAAGCAGCTCTGATAGGTTAATGAACATATTCTACAAGTTACGTTTTATAGATTCTACAAAGTCATTACTGCATAAAAATAAATGAATTTTATTTCTTTAATAATGCATTATGAAATGAGTCCTCAAATATGTTCACAGGTGGGTTTTGAATAGTTCAGTTTTAACTACATCACTAAAATAATGACATCACTTCTTTTTATTTTTCACAAGAGAACAAATCCATTTTACTTATTTACTTTTCAATAAGTTTAAATCCTTGAGGGGTACAGCATTACACAGATTCTGTGTCCAGTGACCTTAGCAGGGAGGTTTCTCTGGAATTTAGCTCACACTGTGCCACTTTTCTATGGGCACTGAGAAACTTTCCGTGAGCACGAGTTACCTTTCCCCACATGACTCTGGTTTTGTTCGGTTTGCCGCCAGGAGTCACTGTGTTGTTCTCTGCTTTATACACATAAGCACATCTCTTGCCAAGATACAGTTCAATTTTGTCTCAAGCATAGACACCTTCAATTTTAAGGAGAGCTGTGTGTGTGTTCCCTCTGGTTCTGAGACCCTGCTTACAGCAAGCAAAAGTGGCCTTGGACCGCTGCCTTCCAGACATGTTCATTGTTACAGAAGTCCTGTTCGCAGGAAAGCCTCCACAGGCCCCCGGAGGGCGGAGAGAATGACATCACTTCTTCAAGAGTTTGAAGTCAGTAGGGTACAGCTTATAGAAAGAAACTTACTCAGTGATGTCCCAGTGATATGACAGAAAAAGTCAGCATGGATACAGATAACTGACTTGCATTGCCCACCAGCAGTAGCAGCAAATCATGACTAAAATTCACATCTTGGGTTCTGTAAGATTAAGCTTCCCAATTGGTCAGTAGTGTGTATTGCAATTTAAAGACATGTCTTTAGTTCCTGTCAGTTTTAATATTTGATTGGTCTAAAAAAATTTTCCTGATATAAAATTGGCATCAATAATTTGTCTTTTTAATCATTTGTATTTGAAAGTTGATACCATGTATCAATTTTTTAAAGATTTTATTTATTTATCTTTAGAGGGGAAGGGAAGGAGAGAGGGAGAGAAATATCAATGTATGATTGCTTCTTGTGCGTCCCCTGCTGGGAACTGGCCTGCAACCCAGGCATGTGCCCTGACTGGGAATCCAACCGAGGTTGTTTGGTTTGCAGGCCCGTGCTCAATCCACTGAGCTACACCAGCCAGGCCATGTAACAGTTTTTAAACTGAGTAATAAAAGTTGAACAGAAGGCTCTCACATGCTAAGTGGGATTTTGGCATCAAGAATATAAAGTATGCTATGAATGTTTTTCCTTTGTGTTTTAATATTGTATCTTTATTACATTTACCATGTAGCTGATGCATGCAGAACAACAAAATGAATTGGCAGTATTATAAAACCAAACATGTTTAAGTAAAGCAAGCTGCCTCTTTACATATTAACACATGCAGGCAGATCCTGATAAATACTGTACAGTAGTTACCTGGTTCTCTATTGCACTGATTCCTCATATAGCTTCACAAAGCCCTGTATAATCTGATGATTTCTTCAATGAAAGTGTTTCTTTTGCTTTCATTGAGATTGATGCAAACTGTTTAAAGAAATTTGCCATTAAGAAATGAAAGTGGAAGCATGTTTCTAAAGAAATTTGAATGCAGAAAGAAATACTCATTATTCTTAGAAGAATTTCCCCCTGAACAATTCCTAATTGGGTCTCTAATTTGCTTCTGTCTAATCACTAATTATTTGTGTTGTTTATTAAATAAAGCATAGAACCACCTGCTCTATGTAGTACATACAGCCTAAGTTTGCTAATGTGCAAAATGATGAATAAACTAAGCCAATTCATCCATCTGTGGAATATTTCAAGGTCGACCATCCATTGGTTACAAGATTTTGAGTTAGAAAGACGGTGGCGGACAGTGCTTATAGTTTGATAATGTTTGCTTACTAAGCGTGAAATGAAATTTAACTGTGGCATGTCTGCATTTGTAAATTTATTGTGGTTGTTTAGACTTCCTGCAAAATGAAATGTCAAGCAGTCGTTCTGAGATTCCAACTGTATTAGACTTCAAAGGGCTTGCATAACTGAGATTATGGTTTCAATCTTTGAAAATTTTCTTCAATTTTTTCCACTATATACAATTAATCAATATAGTCAACCAATAACAAAGTGTGGAATGAGCATAAGAAAATTGATGATTAAAACTTAAAAAATAATCCCCAAATTTGCTAAATGTGCCATCTGAATAGTATAGGGATTTGAAAATGAACAAAGTACTGAATTGACATTTTTTCTGAATATGTAATGTAGCATAGATAGAAAGATTTAGTCTAAAAAGTCTCTGATAGCTGTAAGATGCCATTATTTTTATGCAGCTAGGTGCTTTCAAGTGATGGAAAAAAATAGTGCTGATTATGAAGTTCTTTAGGTAATTGTGAGACTTCACAGGATCTATTTAAGCTCCATATTGATGGTTCGGAACAATATATTACCTAATGGTTTCTATTGCCTGAGAATTCATTCACACTTCCTTCCTCCCTCTATCTTTATCTCTCTCTCTCTCTCTCACTGTCCTTCCAGGCTTACTAGAGAACAAGAAAAATCTATTTTTAAATGGCACACATTTATTTGTTTATTTATGTTTCCTTGGTTGGTTGATTTACTTACCAAAGCATTCCATTTCCAAAAGCTTAGATTTCTTTTTAATTGATTCATTTGGCTACAGGAACATTTTCTTGGTATTTAAAATAGTTTTCTACAGACTGACTTTCCACTTGTGATGACTAATCTAATTTAAATTTCTCTCCTTTTTCTTTCTCTAAGTGCTTTGCCATATGATTCATCTTACCGCTTTGACCCTTTTCACTTGGAGCTTTTTCTTAGACCCCAATTCTAGTTGCCGTTAGCAGGCTCACTTGCCTGGCCTGCTGTTGATTTTGTCAAAGCTGTTTATGCAATTTGCATTAACCTATGTTCATGCCTCTCTTTTTAACTTTTATTATTGAGCCTTTAACTTTTATTATTAAACCTTTTGTGCATTTACTTGCTCATGTAGACCTTACCTACATACATATGGTACAATCCATATTTAATATGCTGTGAGTGCATAACAGGAAAGAGGGGGGTATTTGCAGCCATCTTTCCACTTGGCATTATATTAGTTACCAGTTTAGAGTATATTAGTTATAAGTTTAAAACTGTGAGCTTAAAAGGCCTTTTAGAATGTCTGTAGTTTTCAAGATTCATTTTTTAAAACATTTTATTATCTATTTTATTTTTTAAAGAGGGGAATGGCGAGAAAAAAGAGGGAGAGAAATGTCAATGTGTGGTTGCCTCTCGTGGGCCCGCACTGGGGACCTAGCCCACAGCCCAGGCATGTGCCCTGACTGGGAATAGAACCAGCGATCCTTTGATTTGACTCAACCACCAGCACTCCACCACTGAGCCACACCAGCCAGGGCTTGAGATTCATTTACTGACTCTATCAAATGTATTTACACCTGTGACGTGCTAGGTACTTAATCCATGCCAGCTTTGAGCTACCTTTAAGGTTGGCCCTATTTCATATCTTTGCTAGGTGATTTTGGTGTTTAATATACTTTTCAGGAAGGGAACTTTAAAGGTCCTGGTATAACTTAAATAGAATATGTCCATGAAGCATGAACAGTATGGCCTTATCTCACATTAAATCTGATTCATTCATTTGTTTATTCACTCATTCAAGATACAATTATTGTTCATCTATATTACCAGGCACTGTTCACAGCTTATAGACATGGCAGTGCCCATGAGGGTGAATGTTCCTACTCTCATGGAGTTCGTGCCTTGGAAGAAACACATAACATACAAGAAAGCACATATTGCACTGTTGCTGGGATTGCAGTCCGGTACAACCACTATGGAAAACAGTATGGAATTATCTCAGAAAACTAAAAATGGATCTGACTTTTGACCTGGCAATTCCACTGCTAGGATTATATCCTAAGAACCCTGAAACACCAATCCAAAAGAACCTATGCATCCCAATGTTCATAGCAGTACAATTTACAATAGCCAAGTGCTGGAAACAACCTAAGTGCCCATCAGTAAATGAATGGATGAAAAACTATGGTACATTTACACAATGGAATTCTATGCAGCAGAAAGAAAGAAGCAGCTCCTACCCTTTGTAACAGCATGGATGGAACTGGAAAGCATTATGCTAAGTGAAATAAGCCAGGTGGTGAAAGACAAATACCATATGATCTTACCTTTAACAGGAAGCTAAACAACAAAACAAACAAGCAAGCAAAATATAACCAATGACACTGAAATAGAGAACAGGCTGACAGTGACCAGAGGGGAGAGGGGAGGGAATTTCATGGGAAAAGGGGAAGGGTTTACAGGAACAAGTATAAAAGACACATGGACAAAAACAAGGGGGGTGGAAATGGGAGGGAGGTGGGGAGGCCTGGGTGGGAGGGCTGGGATGGGAGTAAAAGAAAACTGTACTTGAGCAACAATTAAAATTAAAAAATTAATGAATAAAAAGAAAGCATATATTCATCGTAGTTTCTGACAGTGAGAAGGGACAGGATGATATGATGGAAAGTGTGGGGGCTCTTTTATAGTCGGGGATCTGGGGTGGCCTCACCCTGTCTCCTCCATGGCCCAGCCCGGTGTGACAGGGCACAGCTACGTTCCACTGTATAAACGCTCTCCCACTCTCGGGGAGCAGTCTTAGGCAAATCTTGTCTCTTCAGTCATGGCTCTATCAATTATTTATTCATCCATTATTCACTCTTCATTCCATCTTTCCGCTCATCGGACATTGTACATACAGCAACGTGCTCTCCCAGCTAAGGATGCAAAGGCGAAAAGGAACCACCACTATATTTAGGCAGTGATTTCAAACTTTTTTGCACTGAGGGTATTTGAAAAACAAATACATTCTCTTTGCAGATTTTCAACTTCACATCTAAAATTTTTCATTGTAAAAGGGAACGATGAACCGCCGTATGACCCAGCAGTTCCACTTCTGCATTATATATCTGAAAAAAACCAAAATACTAATTGGAAAGAATATATGCACTCCTAATGATCATTGCAGCACTATTTATAATAGCTGAGCTATGGACACAGCCCAAGTGCCATCAGTAAGATGAGTGGATTAAAATGGGTGGTCATGTATACAGTGAAATAGAGCTTGGCCATAAAAAGAATGAAGTCTTAACTATTGCAACAGCATGGCTGGACCTAGAAGGTATTATGCTGAATGAAATAAGTCAGACAGACAAGGACAAATACCTTATGATTTAACTTAAATGTGGAATCTAAAGAAGAAAATAAATGAACAAGCAAAATAGAAACAGACTCATAGATGCAGGGGAGGAGGGTTGGGGGACTGGGTTAAAAAGGTGAAGGGATTAAGAGGTACAAATTGGCAGTTACAAAACAGTCCTGGGGATGTAATGTGCAGTGTAGGAAATATAGTTGATGACATTTTAATAACTGTGTTTGGTGTCAGGTGGGTACTTGAAATATAGGGGACCACTTTATAACGTACATGATATTCTAACCACTAGGCTATCCACCTGAAACTAATTAAAATAATATTGACTATAAATTATAATTGGAAAATAAGATAAAAATAAAGTTTTCACCCTACCTTTTTTAAAATCATTTTTTATTGTTATCCTATTACAGTTGTCCCAGTTTGTCCCACTTTGCCCTCCTCTGCCCATCCCATTCCCCCCCCACAGTCAGTCCCCACCCTGTGGTCCATGTCCTTGGGTCATTCATACATGTTCTTTGACTAGTCCTTCCCCTTCTTTCTACCATTATACCCCTCCCCCCACCTCTGGTCACTGTCAGTCTCTTCCACGTTTCCATGCCTGTGGTTCTGTTTTGTTCATCATTTTGTTGATTAGATCCCTCTTATAGGTAAGATCACCTGATATTTATCTTTCACCAACTGGCTTATTTCATCATTTATATATTTGCAGAAGACATCATTTCTATCATATTGTCAACTTTAAATAAACCCATTAGATCACTCATTTGAGTATCCAGTGACATTTAAACACCACAGCAATTTGTTTTAATAATTTAAAAATACTGTCAAAGTAGAATAACTCTTGAAAGGCAGCATATGATCTTTAAGGGCATAAATGCTAAACTTCCTGATTTATTATTATAGTGTATATATATATATTTTAAATAATAGATGTGAATAATATTATAATAACTATGTATGGTATCAAATGGGCCCTAGACTTAGTGGGGTGAGCACTTTGTAAATTATGTAGATGTCTAATCACTGTTGTACACCTGAAACTAACATAATTATTGTGGGTCAACTATAATTGAAAAATTTTTTAATTAAAAATTATGTATGTGAGGGTTACATAATCTATGAATTTTATTTCAGACTAGTAAATGTACCATCTTAGTGGTGTGGCTACAAGCAAGTTGCTTAACTTTCCTGTATCTCTTTTCTTTGTCTACAAGTGAGGATAAATTATTGTAGCAACATTATAAGATTGTTGGGAGGATTAAATAATTACAGAGGATGAAACTCTTAGATACTGGCTCATGGCAAGAAATATTTAAATTTGATATTGTTGTTGTCATTATATTTTGTTGGTTAATTTACTGAAAATAGCCTTATAAGAAAAAAATAACAGAGTTAAAGTCCTAAATAAATTAAATATATACTTATAATTTTCCCCGAAATAAAACAAAGATAGCATATGAAATGAAAATGTGTATAGCATTGTCCATATCTCAAATTAGTACTAACTGCTGCTGTACGCCAACTAACTAGATTTCTGAGTTACGGTGCACTGGGGGAGGAAGACATTACTTTAAAAGAGGCAGAAGCCAAGTACTGTTGGAGTGCACAGGAGAAGTCCACTCTTCTGCCCCAGAGTAGAGTCAGGGGCACCTCAAAAGGAGAGAGCTTCAGGACTGGGTCTTGAACCATTTCTAGTGTGGATCTGGTGGGAATCTAGGGCTGGAATATTGGTGGGAAGAGGGGACTAGAGAGGCTGGGAAGGGTCTCTGAAATCTTTCCTAACTCAGTATTTTGTGAATCCAAAATTCTTATAAAATCTTTATGTCATTACACTTTTTTCTCTTTTGTTAACTAAGGTATGTTGACATTGCTATCATATGAATGCAACAAAAAGATTTATCGAGCGCCTACTATCTGCCAGGAACAGTGAATGTCTATGTCTTTGTAGATGTGTCTACTTAGCCACAGATATGTATGCCACAGAAATTTTGTATTAAATTACTTTTTTACATTAAAAACATTTTATTTCAGGCTGTGATGAGCCATGTTTGGATTATTACCATGAGTAAAATTTTTTTAAACAGTGAGAACAAGTGCTACTGAAAGAAATGTAAGAATTGGAGTGTTTGTTGATTGCAGGGCTCTGGTGACTTTTTGAGAATGACCTCGTTTTAGTGTCAACAGTGTTTTCCGTCTAAGAAATCTAAGTGTTCTTACTGGCAGAGTAATCATTTAAATGTCTTGGTCTTGGTGTGAAATGCTATTTTAAAAAAAAAAGATTTTATTTATTTATTTTAGAGAGGGGAAAGGAGGGAGAAAGACAGGGAGAGAAATATCAACATATGGTTGCCTCACACATACCCAGTACTGGAAAATCTGGCCTGCAACCTGGGCATGTGCCCTGACGGGGAATTGAACTGGTGACCTTTTGGTTTCCAGACCAGCACTCAATCCACTGAGCCATACCAGCCAGGGCTGAAACACTTATTTTTAATTTGAAGCATTTGTTTTGAAACTTAATTTCTCTTAAATTATGTACAACTTCATGAAGAGAAAGAACATAAAATATTAGAATTATACCATTCAGACTTCTTAGACCTTTACCTATCTTTCTATAGCTACTGTTGAAATAGCTGAGTGATAAAATTAGTCTTCACAATTCAAAGTATCTTAAGCAAGACTAACACAAAGGGGTGGGGAATTATTACAATGTATAGGAAGAATCCCAGAGGTAAGGCAGCATTTGATTGGTTAAATTAGTTTTGTGATTGTCAGCCAAAGAAACCCTACATGCCACCTGTTACAAGTTTATATGGGCATTTTGGTTGTCCCAATGCTGGGCAAGGTGGGAGTGAAAGGGGGGCCGTCAGTATTCTGTGGACGGGCGTCTGGGGTGCTAGAAGTACTGAAATGAGGAAGTAAGTGAAAACTTACTTATAATTATTTGAGCCTAGAAGCTAATACTGTTAAATCCAGAGGTGTAAGGTATTGTTTTTTTCTTAAATGGATTTTATTTTTTAGAGCATTATGTTCATAGCAAAATGGAACGTGGCAGAGGTGTCTCGGCTCCTCCCTCCTCACAGATGCATATGCTCCCTCATTATCAACATCTCCACGAGAGGGGCACATTTGCTACAAACCATGAGCCTACAGGGGCACATCATTTCTACACCAAGTCTGTAGCTTACTCAGAGTTCATTCTTGCTGTTGTGTATTACGTGAGTATGGACAAGTGCATCATGACATGTGTCCACTACTACAGTATTATAAAGAGTGCTTTTCACTGCATTGAAAACTGCATGTGCTCTGCCTAATCATGCTTCCCTCTCCCCGACTCCTGGTAACCACTCATCTGTTTACTGCCTCCGTAGTTTTGTCCTTTCCAGAATGTTATATAGTTGGAATCATATCGTATGTGACCTTTTCATTTTACCTTCTTTCACTTAGTAATACGCATTAAGTTTACTCCATGTCTTTTCAGGGCTGGATAGCTCATTTCCCTTTGGCATTGAATAATATCTCATTATCTAAAAAAATCACAGTTTATCCACTCACTCACCTACTACAGGATATTTTGGTTGCTTCCAGGTTTTGGCAGTTATGAGTAAAGATGCCATAAACATCCAAATGCAGATTTTCATGTGGACATAAGTTCTCATATCCTTTGAGTAAATATCAAGAAGTGCAATTGATGAACTGTATGGTAATAATATGTTTAGTTTTGTAAGAAACCGACTATCACCCAAAGTTGCAGTACCATTTTGCATTCTCACTAGGAGTAAAGGAAGGTCCCTGTTTGTCCGCATCTTCATCTGCATTTCAGGGTGTGAGCATTGTGGATTTGGCAATTCTAATGGGCATGTGCTGGTATCACGTTATTGCTATAATTTGCATTTCCCTGATGACGTGTGACGTGGAGCATCTTTTATTTGCCATCTGTCTATTTTCTTTGGTGAGGCGTCTGTTAAAGCCTTTGATCCCTTTTTTATCAGGTAGTTTTACTTACTATTAAGTTTTAAGAGTTCCTTTTGTATTTCTATATTTTGTTCTTTGTATATTTTGTTCAACAGTCATTCATTAGATGTTTCTCTTGCAAACATTTTCTCCCAGTTAGTGACTTCTCTTTTGATTCTGTTGACGTGAGATGTTCTTCACAGTTTTAATATAAGTAATTATACTAATTTTTATTGTGTTGTCTACCTATAACAATACTATTTTATTTTCTCTATGTTGTGTGGAGTGGCTTCTGATCATGTCTTAAATTTGAAATTACTTCTCAGAAGTAGGTGCAGGGATCTAACTGCATCTACTAGCGTGGTAGTGTCCTAAGATTTACTAATTTAAATATATATTACTAAATATATATTTAAATATATTGTTTAAAAGGTATTTTATTTTTAAATTATGTATGCATGGCCCCATGATATATGAATTTTATGTAGTCTAGCAAAGTGGGATAGTACAAATTACTTACTACAGTGAAGTGGTGTTGGGTCTAACGGGGGGGAGAACACTGTCATTGCCGTGGACCGGAGTGTTTTCCCTTCTACTCTGCCATCCTCAGTGGGTCAGACTGTGTCCCCTAAGGTCACGGGGAGTCTGCCGCAGTTCTTGGCATCATGCGCAAATACAACAGTATCTAAAAAGGGTCAACTAGTATTAATCTCTCAAGATTCTCATAATAAACTGTATGTCCCATACAGTTATTCAAAAAATACTGTGACTATTGCTCGATCTAAATATACATAAAAGAGTACAACTTACTGAGAGATCTAGGGAAGGTTGTCAGTTGGAGATTTAATCTCAGTAGTGGTTCTATTCCTCTTTTCCTCCAAGGGGCTGGAGAATCTAAGTCAGAAGAGTACAGAAACCATGTAAATGCTGTTGAGGCAATTGACTACTTCTCAGAAAGAAAAGAATTAGCTTTCTAAAAATGTATTTGCTAATATATATTTGCTCATTGTATTGAAGCACATTTTTAAATGTTCTCATATGAACAATTTTTTTCTAAGAAATTTAATTTTATAGTTTAGTGAACATGTAGCTCAACTAAAACCATTTTGTCATAATAATCTCCTTTCTTTACATGAAAATATAGGGGGGGACTGAAATTTCTCTTGAAGAAATTAGTGTTTTAGAACTGGCTAGTCAGGATAGTACCCGCACCACGGATGCAGAGGCATAAATGCCTGCAGGGGCCAGGTGGTAGCTGAACGAGAGAATCGGGCCCAGTGGAAGGGGCTGTTGCTCAGTGGAAAGCATGTATTTATCCATGGGTGGCAGCCAGCACCCAGCTTTAATTAATAGTCGCCACATTGGAGTTGGGCCCAGAGTTGCCAGATCTTTTGATTTTTCAAGAAAAAAATCAAATATTTCATTTATTTGTGAAATTCCTGACTCTTAGATGTTGGCCCAGTTTAAAACAAACAAACAAAGCAACACTTAAGTGAGCCTAACAAAGCACATTTATGGGAGATACTTGTTCTGTGAAAGGCCATTTGCAGCTTTTAAACTACCCCATTTGTTTCGACTGTAGAGTGCAATAACTGATGAATAACACCACTTACCAGTATTTGTGCTATGGGAAGAAAGGGTGATTCTCTCAGAAATTGTAGTAAACCTGCTGAATGGGACTTGCACTTCACTCTACTCGTTTGCCAATTATCATGGGAGTGTTAGCTAACTGCTGCATAACCTCAAGTTTTTTTTTTAGATTTTATTGTAGTTTGGTCCTCCATCATTAATCATGGAGGATTTAAGGTAGAAGATGGGGAAAATTCAGGGGTGCAGACCCAGGAAGTTTGATTAAAAGAGCCAGTCCACCTGCACTGCCCTTTAGGCAGAGTGGCAAGTGTCTTGCCTCCTATCTTTTGGATTGTGACACATTAATGCATGCTCCCTCCCACCCTGCCCTCACATGTGACTCAGGTAAACGTCCACTAAAGGGCAGGGTCCCTATTTCTGCTTCCCCAGTATCTGCTGATGGTTTTAAGAGGGCTGTTACTTCCTCCACCACCGTATCCCTCCAGGCACATGGCTGAACTCTACACCCTTCCCTAACATCATCAAACTTCCTTTTGTATACTTTTTTCTTATAGTCAGATATTGAAATGCTAACTTCCCAAATAAAAATCTTCAAAACTAGGAAAATAATAGAAAGGTACTTTAAAGCATAATTTCTGAAAACAGTTTGGTATGTAGATAATTTTTATTTTGCATTTTTAAATGTTTGCTTACCTCTGTTTGAGAAACTCTGAGGCTCTTGGAATAGTGCAATTAAAAGTCAGCAAACTGAGATGGAATGTTTGAAGTCGGTCCATACAAAAAAGGATCTTCACTCTTGGGAAGCACCATCTTCCATAATGTCAATCTTTTTAGATTAAACTGGGAGGTTAAAACTATAAAACAAGTTATGTGGACTCTACTAATTTAGGAGTTATAATGATTTAGAGGTAGTTGGGTAAATTCTGTTGCCTGCGTAATCTCTGGGAGTATGTGTACTTGACAAATTAATTACTTAAATCAGGATATATGTTTAGCCCAATTAAAAATGAAAGCCAGCAATGATCTGAAAACTCCATCTCCATAACAAACTCATAGAAAATAATGGATCACCAAATGCAGATAATTCTTAGACAAGACATCTGTAATTTGTATGGAAAAATACCTGTGGTAGGTAGTATTTGGCAATGTTAGTTTTGTGATCTTGGACAAACCACTAGAGCTTCATTGAACCTTTTTTCCTCATTTGTAGAGGCAACATCTCATTATAAAGGTTGTTAAGAGAATCAAATTAAAAGGTTATATATTATTATCATCATTCGTTTCTTGACCTATTCAAGGTCTAGATTCAGATCTTCAAATTTCACTGTTTTTAACTATTCTAATTTATTTGGTCAAGGGATTCAGAATAATAAAGAAAAGATTTGGCAACTAAGGGCAAGTGAATTTTTGTATAAAGATGTTCGTAAAACATTTTATAGTATCCTTTTGTCCCCATGATTAAGTGTGTGTTTCTCTTCACAACCTTACTTGTAAGGCATTAAAGAAAAGAGGGTGGGGGAACCCGTGAGAATAGTGGGAATACACTGAATCTAACTTTACACATCTCAGCTATTTCAATCCAGAAGAGAGGCAAATTACCTGTGAATCCAACAACAAATAGTGCTAAGTGCAGTCACTTCTGTGTGGAATGGTCCTACCAACTTGATATTGTATAGATATTGAACAACTCTTATACAGTAAGAAGCTTTTTTAACAATTACATTTCTGGGAACATGAAGTTGCAGTATATTATTTGTTTAGTAAGTAATGGGATGACATGTTTAATTAATTATGTTGTAAACAAATCAAATTTGTCCTGATTTTAAAATTTTTCATTTATTTAAAGACCTGAAGAAGGAAGCTAGAGAGAAAAATATTATCCATGATGAACGCTGACCTCTCTAGACTCCCGAGTACCTCTCGCATCTGGTCTGAAGTGTTTCTGATTGCGGTGCTTAAAAAATAAGTTGTGATTTTGGAGACAAAGGCTGAACAGGGTGTGAGCATGTTTCGAAAATCTCTCTCCATCTTCAGCAAAAACGAAATTTTATTTGCTCCTTAGCCTATTTGTTTTCATATTTTAAAAACATAACAACTCATTTAAATTTGCAAGCAGAGTTGGATTATTTGTATTTTCCCCCCAAGCCATGCAGTTAAAAAAAAATGCTGATTATTGTATCCTATTACAATGCTTATGAGAAGGCTCTCTGTGAAGTGCATTTTAATATTTAGATCAAATAGCAACTGGACTGCATTAATGCCCGGTGGGTAAATGTGTCATTTGAAAGCAGCTGCCGAGCCTTCTCCCTGCTGCTCCAATTAACACATACAGCACACTTTTGTCAGCAAGAGGCAGTGCATATGGATGAAACCACTTTGCTGCTCATTAGTACGATATGCAAGAGTGCACAAAGGGTTAATCAGTCTGCCCATTGCAAAAGGGAGCTTTCCAAGAAGTTTCCCAAGCCCTGAGGTTTGCTAGAAAGGGTGTTAGATTAGGGGGTGGGTTTAGCAGGTGAGAGAAAGTTGGTTTGTGTGTAGCTTTGGTTCGGTCCATTGACTGTCCTGTTTCCCCGCCCCTCTCCTCCTCCCGCCCCTGATGATGGAGATACAGGATAGTGAAATTCAAGTGCGGGGACTCCCCTCAGCTGAATCTCTTGTTGAACTTTCTTCTCTTTTGTTTTAAAGCTCTATGAAGCCCAAAGCTTCACCGTATTTTTTTCCTCTTTCGTCGTCTTTATCATTTTACTTTCTCCCTCTTTTTCTTTTTTTCTTTTTAAACTGCACATTTGACAGTTGACCTGGAAAAGTAAGAAACCTTGTCAAGGCAAACCCCTATCGCTGTTATTTTTCCCTCCCGTGGCTAAAACCTGAGCGTGGACGGGGTAGCACAGAGGCAGATGGAAGGGTAGCGCGGCAGGGTCCGTGCGGGGCATTCATGCTCCACCAGCTCCCCGGGCAGCTGGGCTGTCTCAGCTCCGCCGCTGGCTGAGTCGGCTGCGCGGAGAGGGAGAGATGGACCGCTTCCTGGGTTTCGTCAAGCAAATAAGGAGATCTAGGAGAAGAAAGGGGAAAAAGTACCGGCCAGAAGAGGATTACCACGAGGGCTATGAGGATGTCTATTATTACGCTTCAGAGCATTTTCGAAGTAAGCACTTCCTTCCACCCCCTTGTTCCTTCTCGCATGCCTGGGGTAACAATACCCCTTGTGTGATGCTTTAATCTTCCGTGCGAAGGGTTTCCCAGATGGTATTCTAGGTGAGCAGTCTGTAAGTGCTGAAGTGCTACATAGTGCTTGATTTGTTGCGAGAATAAGCATCAGCATCCAGACAATGTGACTTGCCCAGGTCTATACACATGATTAATATTTTAGGTGTAGTGAATTGATGATGTTATCATTTTGAACGAACCGTTCAAAAATTATCTTGCAAGCCAGTGTAGTAGATGGTTAAATTGTGTTCCATTAGCGTTCCTTAAAAATAACTGTGTTTCCTTTTAGAACAGGGAAGGCTAGATCATTTGGAAGAAATAATTGTTCCTGTTCAAGTTGAGGGTGATGATTAATGCTCTCGATACAGACTTCCCGTCAGTTTTCTGTGATGAATCTGAGGTGTTTGTGTAAGGAAGTTCACATGCTTTTCTTTGATGCATGTTTATAATTTTGTTCTTAAATTAAGGGAACTCTTATTTGTTGTCTACTAGAGGCCGTGGGACTTGAATAAATAATATATCTATATTAAGACTTTTATAAATTAGCTTATAAATAGCAGGGAACTAGTTTTTCTTGTCCTTAGCAGTCCTTTAAGTTCCTGGTGAGGGTTAGACTTATCCAATAGATTTAAAATGCCCAGCGATGCCTCAGGGTGCAGGGAGGGAGCAGCTGCATGCAGAGGTCACTGAGTTTATCAGGTGCTCTAAATGGATAGAACTGATAGTTATAAATGATCTACATTTACAAAATTAAGAATTATTTTTATCTTCTTGAAGAAGGATTTTTATAAACTTGTATTTCAAGTCTAATTCTCCCTGGCCTTTTGCTGTCTATTGTAATATATCCCATCTACAACCTCTGAGGGTTGACCAATAAATAATTTAGAATCCATTTCTGTGGTATAAAAATCCATGAGAATCTGGTCTACTTGCCAGAAATTCTGTTGTGATTGATGATAGCTGAGAGTTGAGAATTCATGGGGTGGCAACATCACAATAATGCAAAATTATAATTCTTTGACATTTGTTTTGATAATATGGCTATGTGGCTTTTACAGAGTAGTCTCTGCGTTTTGGAGATGTTTCTCCTCTGTAATGCTTTCACATGAGTAATCTGCTCTTGTGTAGTGATAATCTATGTTTCCTAAATTTAGTTTTCATAATATATTCAAGAATTTAAGATTTGTGTCACATCAAGAATTGCTATCAGCTGGCATGCATAATTCTGAAAACTTGGAGATAAAAAAAGAAACAGGAACCTTTAATTACATTGTATGCATTGTACAAATTTCTTACAACCAATGTACGCTTGCTTGAGTGTGGTTGGTAGGGCACCTGAGCATCTCCCACCAGATGGGCAGCAGTGTGAACATTTCACCCAAAATGTCACATGTGTGCTTGAGTGTGATCGTGTTACGTTACAGAATGACATGCTTATGATTTTATAATAAAAAAATTTATTACAAAAAAAGGGGGTGTTATTTGTGCTGGACCCTGTATAATGAATCAAATTTATACCTTCTTGAGTTTGTATTGTGATGTATTTGTACAAATAGAAAAACAATCTCTTTCAAATGCCTGCATCCTACTAGTTTAGGTAAGAACTTACAAACAACAAAGATACTTTATAAGTTCACCAAATTTCCTCTTAGGAGAGAGAAATGTTTGTGGAAGTGGTTATAAAATAACCTCACACCAGAGTTGGGAGAAGGCCACATCCTTCTCTTTATCAGAGCAGTTTTTATCCATCGAAGGCAGTCACTCAAGGGGAATCGAGTCTTAACTTGCTTGATCTGCCACGGCCTTGCTAAGAATTAGATGCTAACCATCAAAAGTTATTTGCTTTGGATGCAAAATTGACACGCTCCCCTGTGATTTATTAGAAAGCACCCATTATGTAACATATAGCTGTGTGGAGTTAGATGCGTGTTGAGTTGCCAACTTCAAACCTGCTGTGTGGTAAACAGAATGTCACAGCGGATGCAGGCATTTGGGATTTGACATTTCACTAGAAGTTAAGTGGCCAGGGCTTCTGAAGACACGTCATATGACATAATGACCTCTCAGTGTGTCTTTTGGTTTCAGTTTCTGGGCATCTCTGAACTGGGTACAGGAGACATCCCCTTACATTTTACAGCTGTAGAAAAGTATTAAAGGGTGAGACTGATCTGTGAAACCAGTGCTCTCCAATGGGTAATATGGTTTAATTCAATTATATCTGCAGTGTATCTCTTTTAATTAGTCTTTTGGTATAATTTGAAAGTTTGTGTCTTGCATTTCTCTAGATGGCTTAGGAAAACTTTTATTTTAAGGCTAAAACTTGGAATTTACTGATGGCATGCGCATCTTAGTTAATGGTACTATTGATAGACCAGAAGTTGTTGCTCTTATTTCTCCTCCTATATTGTTTGTTGAGAGAAACTTACAGCTCTGTCTTGTCAGCTTATCTAGTGGCTCAGCTAACCACAAGAGCTTACACATACAACAGTGAAAGATCGAGCCAGAAAGACCCTCCCCCATAATTCTCCAATAAGTATGCTCTTGCTTTAGAGTATTCTCAAGTGCTTGCTGATATCTAACTTTATCCCTAACTAATGTCTGCGGTGGGTTCTGACTTAGAATTTCACCATCCTTTTTTCATCTTAAAGACAATGCAGTTTATAATCTCATGACCTGCAAAAGCCTGAGTTAAAAGGTCAGAAGAACCTGAACCTTTGAAAGAGAGGTTAATCTGAAAATAGATGATTTTTCTGTAACTCCATCAGAATTGAGCTTTAGTGATGATGATGGTGATGATGAGGAGGGCAGACTGATTTTAAATCTTCCCTGGTTTCTTATAGTGACATGATATATGTCATTGTTCAAGGGGTGACTATATTTGATTTTTAAAAATCTGCTTTCGTCACTCATCTATCCTTTTATAATTCCAGAGTTAGAGCTTCTAGAAAAATGTTTTGGGCAAATCCCCAAACTTTTCTGTGTTTTTATTTCCTAAAAATGTGACAGGAGATGGAATTATTGCTTATGATTTTTCAAGTTTTGGAAGTACATAATCTTTATAGTTTTTTATTTTATTCTAAAACAGTTCAGATAAACATATTGGCTAAAGAATATTTAACTGGGATTTCCACCAAAAAAGTTCACCTAGATGTCTGGAGGGGATTGTTTTCCTGGTAGGAATCGTGGGTAGGAAGATTGCTGTTCCTTTGAGATAACAATCTATCATTGAATATTAAGGAATTTCAGAGAACATTTGTGAACCTACGACATTCTGAACATGTTGGTAAATTCTAGACCTCATCTTTAATCTTATGTGTCAAGAAGCAGCATTTACTCTGAAATTCTCACATAGATGATGTTTGGTATTTTTCCTTAAAAAATACTGGTACTGATTACCAGTATTCATAAATACCAGTAAAACTGATTCATAAACTTGAATGTAACAAAGAGCTAGAAAAGGATCTCAATATTCACTTTTATTATGTTTGGTGCTTTTATTTGTTTTTCAATAAATACTGTGTTAGAGCAATGGCTTTTTAACAGCTCCAGAAGATAACATTTTGATTAATTTGTGATACAAAAAAAATAAACCCTCTCACTATATATATTTATCTAGCCATATTTAATAATATTTGAATTATAAAGCAGGTAATATATATTTTATAAGCCCTCTCTCAGCACTGTTCATATTCATATTAAAATTCTCACCTGCAGTGGTCCATACAGGGCAGGTTATGGAATTCCATTAAAAGGAGGAATTTATCTCTAATGAGTAGGAGTCTGTGAGCCAATTTCACTTACGGCCCTGGCACCTTGGGCACATGCGGAGTGGCGCTGAATAAGGCATGGAGTTCCTCCACGGTAACTGCCCTTCTCAGTTTTCTGCAGGCCTCACCCAGGTGAGAGAAGGCGGTGCAGGAAAGCTTCTCAGGGCTGTCATTAGCGACCCCACCTGTTCACCTTTTCTACTGCAGTCCTTTCAGGGAATATGGTTTGGATCTTTGAAAAAGGGTCCTTTGTGCTTCCAAATTAACGTGTTGTTTTTCTTTGTTGTTTGCCTGTTCGAATAGGTGTTCAGCTGTATAAAAACATCATTGGCTAAGTTACTTTGTTAAACAGTCTAACCTGCCTGAGATGTTGAAGCTGCATCTTAAGAGGGCTGCTCACTTTCTTTCACTGCATTGGAAAATGTCCTGCATTTTTCCTCCTGGTCAAAACACATTTTTGGTAATAGGTGTGTGTAGTGTGAGAATTTTTTGGAATTGGTGTGGGTAACTAGTTCAAGTATTTCTTCTCACTAGTTCCTTTAACAGATTTTTGGGGGGGGGATTTCATATAATCACATCCTTTTCCCTTCCTGAATCGACATCTAATTAGGATCCTCTCTCTTGATAAGGATGCCAAGGACAGAGTGAGAACTTTTACATGGACTTTGGAAAGATGGCTGATCCCTGCTCCCAGGTCTGCAAAAGGCAAACACACCCAGTCGAAGGGGATGTTGCCTTCCTCAGCCCATAGTTGCAGGGGTGGGGTGGTGATAAGGGAAGAGGGTTGGGAGAGGAATGGGAGAAATGGAGGAAGAGGGGGTAGCACCTTTTATAGGTTATTCTTTCCCTCAAAGGTTTACAAGCATAAAAGCCATTTATTTCTGTGTTAAAAACAGTGGTCATCGAACTGACAGGTCTTGAATGTGAGACTTTGGATGGTTTATACCTTACTTGTACTTAGTTTGACTCAAGAAACCCCAAACGAATTAGAAGACATATCAATTATGTAGAAGTGAAGAAAACTTGCTTGTTTTATGACTATACTGCTTATTTTTCTTTCCCAAGAATTGCTTTCCCC